TCAAAAATTTATATCATTATGAGATTAATATTTGTTGCCATATTGTTTCATAAACTCTAATAGTTGGTAACCGCTCACTGTTACGACAATATGATGTGATTTTAGTGGTTGGAAATAACATATTTTCAAGAAATATAGGGCATGTTACGAGGTTCTCAACGCATACTGCGCTACACAGCTTATATTTGAAAAAAAACACAAAAACAAAGACGAGAAAGTCACATTAGTTTTCGACTTGGACCATACAATGTATAATCAATTAAGTTGAACAATTTACAGTACTAAAGAATTATTATGATGGTTTATGAATTACAAATAAAAAATTAATAGGCATTACACCCTTACAAAATAGAACAGTTTTCAATTTTTTTTATAGATTGGTGATGAGTCCATATTTATATGCACATTTTAAATTTAATTTCAAACTTTTAATGAAATTCTTGTACTCAAATAGTTGATTTGAAAAAATTTATGATAACTGAAGTTATTGGGTTTACAAATTAAAAAGATTTAAAAAATAATTTTTAGTTGCATAAATATTTTTGGATTAATGGAATTGACATTAAAGTTTCATTCATTTTAAGTGTGAAATTAATCCATCCAAAATTACAAGGATCAAAATCAGAATTCTAAAAGAAAAAAAGATTTTACGACATACACCCCTTATTTAGCAAATGGGCCAAAGCATCATATTTTACTTCTATATCCCTATATTTTTACAAGTACAGTCCTCTTTCTAAAATAGACCAAATTACTCATGTATCCCTTACTTTGTCTAAGTTCACCCTCTACCATTAACTACATTAACTACACATGTTCATGTATCCACAATCCTCCACTTACTTAATCAACCAATTAGGTAATACCACGCGTACTGATCCTCAACACACCATTGACTAACCAGAATGTGCCACATCATCTCCACTTTCATCAGCCTTACCACGTCAGCGTCTTTTTCAACAATCACATAAACCTTAAAGTTGCCACCATCATCGTCGCACCACCGTAGCGTCTCCACCTTGTGTCGGCCACCATGAACAACCAGCTACCTCAACCGCAAGCTTTACAACGCCACTTTCAGGCCGCCATAGAATCACAAATCATGACCAGGATTCACAACTGTTGCAACTTTCACGCGAAACCCAAACCTGCACCCAAAAAGACCACACACCATGAAACTTATAGTTCGCACCGCCACCATCTTCGCAACTCAAAGCCATAGCGAAACCTAGAGCTACCACGAAGGCCAAATCACAACATTAAATCTTCAAAAACCTGCAACCAAATAAAACAATTCGGACAAATCTGAATTACAATTCAGAAAATGGAAAACCCCCAAATTGCACAACCATGGAACACTAAGATGCGAAACATCCATGCCCTTCTTCGCAAAGTCACAAAACCATCTTCTTCCTCGCGCAAGCCTCAATATATGCCACAATGGTGAAGAACTTGCAAAGCACACCAGAAAGCTATCATGCAAACTAGATTTGCACATGCCCTTCCTCACGATTCAAATCTGCAAAAGAAAATCCAAAGAGCGTAAAACGCAAGCACCTCCGCGAGCCTCCTCCTATTGCAATACAAACAAAGCCTAAGAGTCACATTTACTCAAATGTCGTTGAAGAGGATATTGCCTACCAAGTTGAACAAATGTCTTATGCCAATGAAATTATTGAAGTTGAACATGTATCTGTATTGCATGACCATGATGGTGATGTTGAAGAATTAGAAAGACAAAAACAAGAAGAAGAAGAAGAGGAATAACATAAACAATAACAACAACAACAACAGGACGACAAAGATGATGATGATGATTATGATGAACCAAATGATGACAACAATGACAATTTTGGCGACGACGACAATGATAAACTCTAATTTAAAAACATCTGATGTAATGTATGTCATGCTCAAAAGTTGTATGCATAAACTTTACATTCACTTAATTTTGTACTAAATAAGATATCCATCTTTTATGGCATAAGTCAATCATTTCATTAAATTTTATTTCTAACTTGTTCATTGCATATAGGAGAATGGCCATCACGTGATGATAAAGGCAAAGGGATAACAAAACCTAAGAGGAAACGACAGACACAATATATAATAATGGTTCGTACAATAGTATCGTCCCTTCATGCCCTCACTTCACTGTATGTTGGGTCCTCACATGTTACACACCCTCTTGTGCTATCCACAATAGACCCTCATCTTCATCCCACACCAGACCCTTTTGTTCATCCACACCAGACCCTGTTGTTCATCCCACACCATACCCTACTCTTCATCCCCACCAAACCCTACACTTCATCACTAGTCCCCGATAGTAAAGCCAAAAATCTGTCACAAAATTGGCTTGTGTACAAAATCGTACAAATAATAAAGTGGATAAGTCCATATATCGTTGTTTTTAAAAAGACTTGCATTGTTCAAAAAAATATTTTTTGTACTAATTAAGGCTAAGAACTTTAGAAGAATGAAAATTGTTGATGTGTATGAAATAAATCTAAAATTGAAAAGGCAATACAATTTATGAAATTACTATATGGTAAAGATTCCCTAGGGTTACATTTCATGCATCAAATCAATATGAAAAACACTAAACAATATATTTCAAATTCCTACCCTAACATTCACACCATTTTTTGACAAGTCCTAATTTCTTAGAGATAAGTCTAAATATATTAATAAGAACTCTAATGTCTTAGACCTTTTCTTATTAAAAGTTTGAATTAAGCATTAAATTTGAATGTTAGGAATGAACAATGATGAACTATATGTCTAGATGCTTAATCAATTAGTTGTTTTATTCTAGTGTAGGTTCTGACATCATATCTCTCTTAGAGTTATTTTCTTATGCTCTTAATTCAAAAACAAATGACTTCTTAGTCTTGATTATACAATAGAAGAGAATTATAGTTATAGCTCCAAAACTCAAGACAAGATGACATGATTTTTATTTTATCACTTCAATCCCCATAATAATATAAGAGTTAATAACTAGATTATTGAATTTAAAATAACTCACAAGAATTAGTGTTTCACTCTACACAACAAATGTATATCAATGATAACTCATATAGCGTGTCATAAAACCACTTCATAAACTTATAAAACCACTTCATAAACTTTTGTCCATTGTCTAAATTACACAATTCACACTATTGGTAAGATCAAAAGGTATTGTATTGAGGCTTAGATTAGAAATATGATTTTTTATATATTATATATATTAAGCATACTAAATTATATATATATATATATATATATATATATATATATATAATATTGAAATTATAAAGATTGTCACAAAAGAATTATTAACTATAAAATTTTGAAATTTTTAATAATATTTTATTTTCATGTTAACGGTGACATAATGATAAGTTTATATATTTGGTTGTACTTTTTTTATTCTTAAAAATTGATTATGCTGACATAATTTATGCTAGCATATGTTTATAATTTTATTTTTCATACTTGGAATAAAGTATAGGTATAGACTACAATGGCGCATAATACTATTTGTAATTTAATTCCATTTAAACTTAACACGAAAATTATGTATGACAGATTATAAATTGGTTTATATAATTGCATGTGTCTGTCAATAAAAATTACTATACTTTTTTTTTGTAGAGAATCAAATAAATAAAAAAATTAGAAAAACTTATAATAATAGAAGAAGAGTCACATAAAAACGAAGCTACTTTCACAAAAAAAGTAAGGAAATGGAGATGTATTCAAGAATTACTACCAACCTCTTCAGATAACCACGACCTTATACTGAAAAATGTTCATACAATTATTATATTCTTTTGAAATCTTCAGAAGATAAGTGTTCTAAAACAAAAGTTAATTTATACGGATTAATAGCATAGCATGTGATCACACAATAGTTTATACATCTTATCAGATTACTCTATATTCCTACGTTTATTTATTAATAGATCTTTCAAAGATTTCCAATTGTTGACATGCATGCTCCATGCCGCAGAGGAATTCTTAGACTAATATTCATCTTTTCGGGTGTGAACACATTGCAGGCTTCAGTTATCCTTCAACATTCTCATTCTATAGAGGGTGTGAAAAGAACCAAACACAACTTAAGATGCTGTCTCTGTTCATTTTTTTCAATTTATTATTAATGAGACTTGCAACTTCCACACGCTTGAAGATTCACTGCCACAAATAAACAATTTTTTTTTTCAATTCTTGTCAATATCTCTTTTTCGATATATAACCGTTTGTAATTCAAAAGGAGACTAATATAACCGTTTCTAATTGAATAGAAGAGTAATATAACTTAAAAATCCATTATATATAACCGTTTCTAATTGAATAGGAGAGTATAGTCTTTTACTATATATGTATATACTAATATATTAACAATAAAAGGAAAACGTTAATTAGTATCACCCATTAAAGAATAAAAAAACTCTATTAAAAGATATTATTCTAAACCCAAATTCCAATGTACTATTTCTAGTAAAAATTCTCAATTTATTAATTTCTAATATGTTTTAGCCATAAAACCGTAATGAATAATAACAATTATAATATTTAAATTAAAGGACTTACTAAATTAAAAAGGTTACTTATAAACCTGACATTTCAAATTAAATAATTTTGTAAAAATAATTTACCCATATAAAAAATAGGAAATACGTTGCTAGCTTAGGCATCAATAATCCAACTTAGACATATTTTCAGTTTTTCACAGTTAAATATGATGTATAAAATTTTGTATCATTCCAAATATTCATATTATTATCAGACAACACATATCTTTCACCATCATGCATTCATGTGTGTACATTGTTAATCTTGAGGCATGAAACATCCTTTCGTAGTTGACTGGTATGAATTTCAATAACAACATAAGGTTGAACTTTTGAATCCGTTATGCAACTATAAATTTAAGCTTTCTCACTTTCTTCCACACGGCAAACAGAAAACCTCAGTGCTGTGATTACATTAGATCAGTTTATCTTGCAATGGCTTCATTCAAAAGCATCAACATTGAAGGTCAAATACCAGAAGAGATTCTGATAGCTCAGATTATGCAACTTCATGCAAGCATCTCAAAGCTTGAATCCCTTAGGCCTTGCAAGCAAGTGAATAGTCTCTTCACTCATCTTGTGAAACTTTGCACTCACCCTTCATCCATTGACATTGAAGCCTTGCCTCAAGAGGTGCAAGAGATGCGTGAGAGCCTCATTAACCTCAGTGGCCATGCCGAGGGACTCTTAGAGCTTGAATTCTCAACCTTCATAAGCCTCACACCCGAGCCCTTCAAGAATGTGACCCTTTTCCCTTACTATTCGAACTATTTGAAACTAGCACACATGGAGAACAAAATCCTGAAAGAGAATGGGATTGTGAATGCAAAGAAAGTCGCTTTTGTGGGATCAGGTCCAATGCCACTCACTTCCATCATAATGGCCACTCACCACATGGAGTCCACACACTTTGACAACTTCGACAACGATGAGAAGGCAAACGAAGTGGCTCGAAAGATTGTTGCTTCCGATGTAGCACTTGAGAAGAGGATGAAGTTTGTGACACAAGACATCATGGACGTGAGCGAGAGGTTGGGGCAATATGATTGTATCTTTTTGGCAGCACTTGTTGGCCTGAATAAGGAAGCAAAAGTGAAGATTTTGGGACATATAAGGAAGTATATGAAAGAGGGAGGAGTTTTGCTTGTGAGAAGTGCAAAAGGGTCAAGAGCTTTCTTGTACCCTGTTATTGAAGAACGTGACATGGTGAATTTTGAGGTTCTTACCATCTTTCACCCCACAAATGATGTGATCAATTCGGTTGTTCTTCTTCGCAAGCCTAAGGCTTAGTTCCAACACCACCACCCTAAGATGCTGTTCTATCTACTTGAAGATCCGGGCTATGTAGTTTCTATACATGTTTGTTCTTGTTGTGTTACTTTATTCTAAGCAGGTTGATTAAAAGATCCGTATGAGCAAGAATTATAAATGTGATAATAAATATGTTATTTGATATGGTTAAAAGTTTTAAGTGATTTTAGGTCAAAAGTTCAAGTCTCTCTTCTATTAGAGAAATATCTTATCACTACAAGAAAAAAAATCATATTACCTATGGTAGAAATCTCTAACTAAGACTGAAATTTCTTAGGTAGTATATCATTATCTATGGATTATTTATAGATAAAAATTCATAAATAAAATAATCATAAATGATAAATAAATTTGTAAATAATTATATACAGATAAATTTCTAAATATTACATAAAGATAAATTCATCGATAATTTATATACGAATAAATTCGTAGATATTACGTGTGTATGTAACTTGTTTTGTTTTATATATTTAATTAGATTAGGTTTTTCAAGTAGTTATATGATTAATATACAATTTTAAACATTAAAATTTCTCTTAAAATTTTAAATAACTACTACAACAATAATTGTGCTTAAAACAAATAATTAAAATATGCAAGTTTTATTAGATGACTTATAAAAGAAAGCTTAAAGAAATAAATATAACTGTTATCGTGTTCGAAGAGCAAATTATAAATGTTCAAGAATACGTTTATCTCCAGTTTCCTTCAATAATTTGAGATAAAACAGCAAATATACTTCCTAATGTAAGTGATAAATTTTTTAGAACTTTCTTGTAAGTTAACCTCAAGTGCTTTTTTGTTCCCAACAGATGTCTTACGTTTGATATTAAATACAAAATAGATTAGTCCTAGGCTGGGGACTTATTGTCGTTTCCTTCCTTCGCATGGATAACAAATCTATTAAATGTACAATATTTTGACAAGGAATCCCTCCACTTACACATAAGGCAAAGTTTATTTTCATTAAAAAAAGAAAAGGTTCCAAGTTATTTGTAAGATACTAATCACCATTACCAAATTATTAGCCAAACATCCTTCCAAATGGTCAAATCATTTATTAGTGACGAAAATGTCATTTCATTTATCAAATTAACAAAAACTTAAAAATGAATGAATAATAACAATCATAACTTCCTTTTTTTCACCACGCTATCAATTTCTCACATATTTATTGTAAATTATGAGCGTGAAGATTTGAAGCTGCATCCTCGTATCATCAATCAACCGCAAGGTTACATGGGACAAGAAATTACCCAACAGCACCTCTCCTGAATCACCTCTCTTAAAAAAAAGAAAAGAGAGAAACACCAAGAGAATCTCTAGACTGTATTGTATTGAACTCATATTCTCTATGCAAGAATAATAGTATAAACGACTTGTAAACAATCATTGATTGCAATTTTAAAGAGAATTAAAATACTTGTTGAAACTCTGAAGAGTTAAGGAAATCTAGGCAACATATCAGAGGATACCAAGATTGTCTAATACCAAGAGTGGTGCAAATACTCAACTGGTTTAGGGTAACGGAAGGTTATTCAGTACAAGGGATACTAAGAGTGGTGTGAATACTCTATTGGTGTAGGGAAACAGAAGGTTATTAACTGACTAGGGATACCAGGAGTGATGCAAATACTCAACTAGTATAGGGTAATAGAAGGTTATTCACTAATTAGGGATACCAAGAGTGTGAGAATACTCGGTTCTTTAATCTTGTTGAACCAGTATAAAAATATATGTGATTTATTATTTACCTTTGGCTAAACATTTCTCTTATAAAACCTACAGTTGCATTTTATCTTTACATAACAAGAATTTTCCCATACTAAACAGTTGTTCTTTAACTAAGGAAGTTCTTACAAAATTTCGTTTACAATCACTTGAAGCCGAATGTTTAACAATTATCTGATAAATCTCATACTCGAAGAACGTGCTATATCAGAAGGGTTGGGAAAAGACATTTCCATTAACACTATTCGACACTCACCCATCTCTCCTTCTAATGTTTTTCAGGTACTTCACTAGAGGTCATATGGGTTTTTAGCATTTTATAAAACTTCTTTGCGATTATTAGTTATCTAAGAAGCTAATCAATTATTGTAAAGCATTTTTTAATCCAAAGACATTAAAGCATACAATACATGGAAATAAAAACTACTTTAAGTCCTATATAAAAATCTACTTATTACAAAAGTTTTTCACAAATAATACAAATCTTCATAATGATCTTCTTGCAATGTGAGTTCTTGAGACTTGATTTGGACATCATTAAAACTTCTATGCTTTCAACATTTTGCTAACAAATAGGTCTGAAATTGCGATGGAGGGCAACTTGAATCGCCTTATTTTGTGAAGCACATTTGTACGACAAAGTTCAAAGAAACGACATATGTTTATGAATGGTTTGGTTATGACCTTATTACTACTAAGTAATATGATATGATGGCTTGCTATAGTTTGTAATTAATGTTATTATATTGTGTTATGTGCTATGATGTTATTTCTGGTTGCTCAACCTTACATGTTGTGCTTGTGGTGTCCCCCTACGATGATTGTACTTGTACATGAGTAGATGATGTTGCAGATAAGGCTAGTAGTTCAACGAGATACGGGAAAATAATAACTTCTGAATTTTGTGTATCTTTTAATTGTCTTCTCAGACTTGGTGTTTTTGTAAAGGATATGCTATAATTTATTTTGCGTTGTATGAACATAGTTTAAATTATGGTTTTTGCTTTCGCGTATATACTTAAAAAATGATTTTGAGTAAATGATGAGAACGATTTTACATAATTTGCGTTAAGTAAGATTTATCATTTTTTTACATGTGCATCCCTCTAGGGGTGTTACAAAGAGGATGAAGGGAGGTAGTGGAAAATATAGATAAAAATGGTTAAAAGAAGGTGGAAGACTCTCAATGCAAGGTGTGAATAGTGTTTGGGGGTGAGCTAGGAAGTGTAGAAGGAAACCTATCTAGGGAAGGTGGCTAGAGGAGGTCAAGATCTCTCTTTAGCCAAGACTTTGCTGAAGAAAAAAAGCCTGGAGTAAGGAAGGTGGATTTATAGATCCATCCTAGCCTTCCCACGGTGCTAACAACTAAGTTGATCATTAGTAGCAAAGAGTGGATCATATGACACGTATACAACACATTTTTAATATGAAACATGAGAAAGAACTCGAGTTGCACTCGCTGGCTGCAAGGATCTCCACCCGCATGTTGAGTGGATGAGGTTATTATGTGTTGGGCGTTGACCAATCCGAAAGTCATTCTAGGCTTTGCTCCAAAGAAGTAGTTCTTCACTTCTCCTTGCTTGGAGGTGTCTTCTAGGTCCTCTTGGAGTCTTCTTGCCATATCTCTAGTGATAGGGCCTTGATTAAAGTATAGGCTTAGGCTCAAGCTATCACCATGGATTGTAGAATCTGCAGAGGAGATGCTTGTGTCTGTTAGTGCGCGATGCAAGTTTAACAGTGGTATTTCATGGTGACAGACCTTCAAAATTTCCTTATCTATAAGGCAAGAAAGAGGTTTGATAATTTTGGCTAATGAGAGATTTTTCTATATCAATTGTACCTTTAATCAATATAAAAAGTAACACTTTCTATGTCAGTTGTGAAACTAATATAAAAGGTCAATACTTTATATATTCCTACTTTTATATGAGTTTCAGAACAAGTATAAAAAAACTTTTTTTAATAGATATAGAATGATTTTTCTATACTAGTGGATTAGTGTCAACTAACATTATAAATTAAACATTTTATGATAGTTATTAAATAATCGTCATAATATGTGAGCAATTTTTTTCTTTTGAATTTCTTTTTTACTTTAGTGGGTTTTTTTATTAGTAATAATATCATCATAGTATCACAATGTATAATTTCCAAACATATTATTTCTTTAATAATTAAACGATATAAAACATTGTAAAAAAAAAAAGACATGTAAGATTTTGTTTTATATTTACATAAACTTAAGAATTCTACAACTTATTAGAAATGCTTTTAAAAAAGTGTAGTTCATTACATTCTAATGTATTCTATATTTTTATTTTTCAAGATGAATGGTTGAATAACTAAAAAAATGAACATTATCAATGGAACATAAAATTCACATTAAATAAGTAAAGTGTTTAAGTGAATTTTTATTACATCTCTCGTTGTTAATGTTTGTAAATATAATTGTGTATGTGTACTTCATTACGTAACATCCAGCCTCATAGTTCATTGTTTGATGTGGATACTGCACATTAAATACAAATAATTAAAATATTTTACATTATATTTAAATAGTAAGACAAATAAAGTATATTAGATGCAATTAATTGTATTTTCTTGACTTATAACCTCGAATGTGTTAGAGTTAAGCCAAACGTTAGTTAGTTAGTTGGTCAGGACAACTATTGATTAACTGTCCTTGGCAGTTGCTTTTCATTTTATAAATATTGGACCTCTGTTCTTGTAAATTGGATTTGGAGATCAGTGTGAATATACGAAAATTCTGTGCGTTTGAGTTTTACTCTTTCTTTCTCTGCTCACCTCCTTTGACCGTTCGGTGCAAAGGGCTTGACCGTTCAGTGTTGCTCGTGTCCTGTTCGGTCGTCCTCTAGCGACAATGCTGCAGTGCTCTAATGGTTTGTAGCGTTCGGTTAGGCACGCTCGTTCTTCAGATGCTCGTTCTCCAGACGCTCGTTCTTTTCATGTTCCAACAGTGGTATCCAGAGCTTCAGGTTCGTGACTTAGGAGCTTCAGAAATCATCAAGGGTCTGAAGGAGGCTGTGAGGAAAGGTGATTGAAGCGTGAAGAAGATCAAGACTGTATTTCTTGGTGAAAGATCGAGCGTGTGAAAAATGGCCAGTAGAGATATGTCTGTTAATCTACCTGTTCTCACAAACAAGAACTAGAGTAGGTGGAGCACACAGATGCGTGTCTTGTTTCATGTTCAAGATGTCAGCAGCGTGATGGAGGGATTGGTTTCTGCGTTTGATTTGTGCGACACAGAGAAAGAGGAGTTTAAGAGGAAAGATGATAAAGCTTTGCTGATTATCAATCAATGTGTGGACGATATGCATTTTGAGAAGATACAA